CTCTCTGTGTGTGTGTGTGTGTGTGTGTGTGTGTGTGTGTGTGTGTGTGTGTGTGCGTGCGTGCGTGTGCGTGCGGGCGTGCATACGTGCGTGTGTGTGCGTGTGCGTACACGTATTGCACGTCTCTTAGCGGTTTTCTACGTAGTTCGTCATGGGCAAATCGACCTCGGCCTAGCTTTTTGCATGTCCATCGAGGAGATCCGCATGTATTTGAGTAGGCGGAAACTTCTAGACATAACCTCATAGGCAGAAACATTGGGGCAGTAATTTGAAAGGAAAATTTGTAAGGGGAAGCATTTAGGCAGGAATCTGCTAATCTAGCGGCATCTAGGAGTTGAAACCTGCAAGCATAAACGTGTAGACAGAAACCTGGACGCCGCAGAAAGCTGTAGACAGAAACATAGCGAAGTGGATGCAGAAATCGTTCGCAAAAAGGATTAACATCGCTATCGCGCGATTGACGTTTTACGACACACTCGCAACAACACAATGTTTCTTTACAACGTTCGACTAAGCACGTCGCAACCCGCAACCCTAAAGCCTACTTGCGACTTTTTCATGCAACTTCAAACGTGAAGACTTCAAACGTGAAGCCTTGAAGCACGCGCGGGAAAGTCCGAATATATCGCAGATGGATAGATGTGGCAGGCGGCAGTGCACGCGTGTATAATTATTATCAACTAAATGCAATCGGAAGGTGCTGCTAGTAAATGTGCTGCTTCCAGTAGTTTTATGCTGGAAAAGAGAGGGGGAGCGACCGAAAGAGCGAGAGCTCGATAAAAAAAGAAAGGGAGAGAGAGAGAGAGAGAGAGAGAGAGAGTCATAGCGAGCGAGATAGCGAGAGAGAAAAGAAGGATGTGAGAGAGTTCGGGGGTGTATGAGCGAGCGAGCGCCAGCGAGTGAGGCTGTGACCAAGCAAGAGAGAGAGAGAGCGCGAGCGCACGCGCGTGTGAGAGAGCGAAGGACTGAGAAAAGGAAAGGGAGAGAGAGCGCGAGCGAGCCAGTGAGACAGAGCCCGAGAGAGAGGAGAAAGAGCGAAAGAGAGAGACGGAGAAAGGAGAAAGGAGAAAGAGAGAGACAGAGAGAGAGAGAGAGAGAGAGAGAGAGAGAGAGAGGAGAGAGAGAGAGAGAGAGAGAGAGAGAGAGAGAGAGAGA